TCCTTTGGAGGTTCCATTGAACCTTTCATTGAAAACTGAAAAGTGTAACGATGAAGTAAGTTGGGATGTCTATGAATCTCCAGTTCCAAATCCAATGGTTTCTATTTTGGATCCAAAGTGATTTTTATTGGATATTAAAAGTGGTTAAAATTAAAACTGCCAATTTTAATTTTAACCTATCCTGCCTTTAAAAGCAACACACTGGTTAAAATTAAAATTGGCAATTCTAATTTTAACCAATTTTAACCTCCTTATTTTTCCAATTTGAAACCTTTACAGTCATCATGCGTGACCTGAATGAATTGTATCCAGAGTTGCCAAGAGCCACTCAAACAAAGGAAATGGATGGGCATCAGCTTCGGCCAAGGAGATCTTGCACCTCCTTTTTGATTCCAGTATTGGACACTAGTGCAATGATTGTGATACCTCAGGTTCAGATCATCAGCTCTCATCATCATTCCAAAGCTGATCATGTGCATCCATCAAGGCTTCAAAAATGATTCTACAGGTCCATCACCACTACATTGATCAATATGACTTGACAGCTTCAGCCATGCAGAAATGCTCATATCACAGATATCATGTTTTACTTAAATTTAAATTTAGTTTATCAAGGAGATCTTGCACCTCCTTAAAGAGTCGCTTGCGCCCATAATCTCCAATCATTTTTCCAGGGAAGCTCAATTGACTCAATCTACATTTGAATCCTCATCCTCTTTGGGTTTTTCGGCTTGCTCTCCAGCATCAATAGGTGATGTAGGAGAATATGGGGTTACAGCAGGACCTGATCAGGAGGCATGATGATGAACATATTGCACAGTGCATGGTTGACATGAGATACTTTCAAATCCACAGTCACAGAAAACTCCAGCCTGTGTAGATCATTCCTTCATCCAGGAGCTCCAATGGAGTAGCATGCGCAGTAGGTGCAGTAGGTGGTCCTCATGATGCATTGAAACTGAAACAAAGGAGGTGCAAGATCTCCTTATGCCCAAAACAAAAAATCATCTGAGGAGGTCTTGCATCTCCTTCATAACATGATATATCAAACCATATATGAAACAAAATCATTATCTAACTGATTCAAGTTTCCATAGATTTGAGAAGCTCTCACAGCATAGAGATTTCTCATTCGTCTTCTTGCTTCTTCAATTGAGATGACCCCCATGTCAGCCATGTAAGTGAGTTGGGCTGCTGCACCTCTCGCTCCCTCCCACAGTGGTAGAACTGCATCCAGTGTTGGAAAACATATATATAAATATTCAAATTCCAAATTTCAACATTCCAAATTCCAGACAAAACTTCTCAAATCCAGAATTCCAATCCAACATTAAACATTAAAGCCACATCCTATGAAAGTCTATAAGCCATTTTTGAAATCCACCCAGGCACTAAACGCTCAAGTTCCAAATGTCAGGAGATCTTGCACCTCCTTAAGACAGAAAAGTGGAAAGACTATTTCCTATTTTCCTATAGAGAACTCTCAGGAGATCTTACACCTCCTTGAAACATGCAACAGAAATCGGCAGCCATTTTTTTTGCAATTTCATCCAATCTAATCCACATCCTGTCCAACCTTCCACTTTGGAATTTCCTCATTCAAAAATTCAATCACAGATTGTTCAGTAGCACCATTGTGCAAATCAGCAATGCATTTCTGGGCCAAATCCAAGCCAACTTCTCTTGAAGTTTTGTTCAAAGTGAAAGATTTGATTTGTTTCTTGTCTCCAAAATTTCGTCTGACACCTAAAGCACCATACTTTCGACTGCCTTTGGCAGGATAATCTTCCAAGCGATATTCAGGAGATGCCAAGTCAACAGCAGCAGGTTCAGGATCAGCAGCTGCAACAGCCGGCCGAGCTTCAACATCCTCTTATTCAGAAGTGCCAAGTACTGCTTCACATGCAGCACGCTTTTTCAAGATTGCAGCAGGCCTTTTCAAGACTGCAGCAAGCCTTTTCAAGACTGCAGCAGGCCTTTTCCCACCTGCAGATTGCCTATAGATCTTCAAAGAGTCATTGGGAATTTCAGATTCAAATTTGTTTTCACCAAAAGCAGCAATGGCAAAGCCATTTGGTCCTTCATTCATAGTAGCTTTCTCCACCTTGCTATCCACAAAGCGACATACCACCATGGCAGTAGAATCGATCCAGGTTCCAGCACTCACAGGCTTCTTAGGACTCACTTGGCTCTCTTCACTCGACACTTCTATCAATTGATGCTCTTGGCTATCCAATGTTTCTGAGCTGTGGCCTGGAGGAAATTTTTGCAAAAGTGGTTCATTCACAGGCAACTGTGGGATGGAGCTCGCATTGGAACTTTGTCTCATTGAGCCTTCGCTTGGCAACGGCTTTCTGAACAAACTTGCTTTTCTGCTGGTTCCCATGGAATTCTGAGCACTCCAGATAGATCTTCACAAGCTCACCCATCCAAGGCTCATATTTCTTACTTGAAATTGACCATTTTGCTTTTGTTCTGATGTGTTGCACACATTCGACAATTGCAGAAGACCACTTCTTCGCTTCGTCACTCAAAGTGCGAGGGTTGACTTTCAAGGCAGCTTCCTTCAAGCAGTCTTTGGATGGTCGAATTGTTTTCTGGAACATCAAGCCCAGAAATTTTCGATAATGCGTGCAAAGTTGATCAATTTCAACATCCAAGTAATCCTTGGGATCCAAACAAGCCACCTCTGCTTTCAAACATTTGCAAAGGTCTTGAACAGAAGCAGTGTTCTTAGCTCTACTCATCTTGAGAAATCAACTGCAGATGCGATGCACAAACATTAGATGCAGGAAATCAAAACACCAAAAGGAGATCTTGCATCTCCTTGAAGCAACCTCCACAGGTTGGTCTTGATGCAATGATGATGTCAAAGGTGTATCTAAAAACAGTGAAAAAATCCTCCTAAAAAAAAAATAAGGAGGACATTTCAAGAAAAAACGCCTTAATTAAGGAGAATTCCTCCTTAATTAAGGTGGAATTCCTTAATTAAGGAAAAAATCCTCCTTAATTAAGGGAATTCCTCCTTAATTAAGGTGGAATTCCTTTAAAAAAACACCCTTAAATTAAATAAGGAGGAATGGAAGTTCTGGGTAGTATACGGTAGTACTGAAGCGACTTTGTGCGGGTTTTGTAGTATACGGTAGTACTGGGAACTAGTTTGTGCGAGCTTTGTAGTGCAATGTCGTACTGGGAAGTAGTTTATGCGAGCTTTGTAGTACACAGTAGTACTGGGAAGTAGTTTGTGAGGAGTATAGTACTGGTTTCCGACTGGTTTCCGACTGGTTTTCGACTGGTTTCCGACTGTGGTTTCCGACTGGTTTCCGACTGGTTTCAGACTTGTTTCCGACTGGTTTCCGACTGGTTTCAGTCTGGTTTCGGATTGGTTTCCGATCTCTATTTATCGATCGATCGATCGATCGATATCTATTTCTATATCTATATCTATGTCTATGTCTATATCTATATCTATATCTATGTCTATATCTATGTCTATGTCTATATCTATCTATCTATCCATCCACCTATCTGCTCCCACCATCTCCCAAGTCATCACCCTCGTCTCATAACAATCGGAAGGCTTAACATGTGGGGTTACCTGGTCCTTTAATTATTGTTTTTATTTGTATCTATCCAGCACTCGTTTTCACCCGTCGTTTTTTGAAAACTTAAGAAAATAAAACGTTCTAGGTAGTTGTTTTTTCAAAATAATCAGGCCTCTTTTGAAAAATCTGTTAACTCATGGCGTTCAACCACGCTCACCTGCGAGCAACCTTTTAAAAAACAAAAAGAACATCAGGAAAAAATGAAGTCCAAAGATTTCAACGGGCAACGCCGTAGCACAGGACAAAAAAATCATAGCATATTTCATTTTATTTCATTTATTTCTGACTTCAACAACCCAAACCTACCTTATGGAGGACCCAGCGAACCAAGGTACTACATTACGTTTGGTGATATACTTGGCCCAACCAAAAGCACCGACTGGGGTCAAACTTGGCCGTCCTTGGCTTTGAGTTGGATCGAACAGTAGTACACTTGGGCCCAACTTGGGTGTAACTTGCGCCGAACTCGGGCCAGTTGGCTCCATTTTGGGCCCCACTTGAGCCCAACTGAGGTCCAACATAGCGCAACTTGGGAACGTTTGGAGGCCAGTTGGACCTAGCATGTGCAACTTGGTGCTGTGTTGGGGCATCTGGCGCCGAAGTTCGGCCAAAGACAAGCCCAATGTCAGCAACATGGCCTCGCACGAACCCGCATCAAAACCAAAAAATGATGGAAATAGCGGTAAAATGCAAGTTCTCAGCGTGTCGCATTGAGTCCGCAAAATTGGCTCGGGCTGGGCTGGGCCCAACTTGTTTGGCCCGGGCTGCCGCCAAAGTTGGGCTGAAATTGGGCCCTAAACGCCAGATGGACTCCATATTGAAGCCATGTGATGTACATGGAAATCCAAGTCAGTTCTACCAAGCTACTTGGCACCTTTGGCGACAGCTTCACACCAAGTTGGGCGCAACGGAAGCACAACATGGGGAACGTTGCTTCAAACAAAGCGTCATCGAAATCAAAAATAAGTTGAAAATACTAGTGAAAACGGACGTTTTGGGGATTTCGGATTGGGCCTATGTCCCTTTCGAAGCCACATGAACTTCCAACTTGGGCCGAAGTTGCTCTGAAATGGGCCCAAGTTGCGGCCAAGTTGCGCCATCCTGGATGTTGGATCGAAACGGTCGATTTAAGGCGCTTTTGGGACAATCTGCAAAAGGCGGAAATTACCAGTCCCGTGCACTTTTTGGCAGTCTGCCCCCCCAGCTGAAGCTGTACCAGTCTGACAGATCTGTCCGGCCGCATCCGCTGCTAAACTACCACGCCTCAGCACATTCGGTGCGGGCGGATTTCTATAATCAGTCAGATCATTTCGAACAGTTGCTCTGGGTTGAACGTGAAGTTTCACCTCGCAGTAAGAGGTTGAATACGCTTCCGAATACACCAAGCACAGCTAGGAAAGACGCTGAAGAGGCAGTAAGAGTTCGCAAGGAGCTGATGGCGGTGAAAACAATCTGTTTCATAATGTTTTTCTCGCGGCCACATGTGTGACGATGTGGTGGTGGTTTTGATAGGGAAGAATTTGGTTGACAGGTCATGACACGTCGCGACAGGTCACGGCAGATATCCGGTTTATCCTCTTCTATGTTTTTCTTCTTGTGGTCCTACTTGCCTTCGGGTTCTGATTTGCTTAATGCAATGCAACCGTTAGGTATTGTTTTTTCTTGGAGCCGCATAACTTACTGTTTGGAGAGTTCCCATTCATCACGCTGCCTTAATCAGCACCGCTAATTGCTTACGCAACCAGGATTTGGAAGCTGTACTCTTAGTTCACCAGTAGATCAGCGATTCAGCAGACAGAAACTTACGTGCCGAGATATTGCAAATGAGGATTTGGACTCTATTGTGTTTCTGGTGTGACAGGAAATTGGATTTCAGATTTGTAAGCTAGTACTAGTAACTAGACAGGTTTCTGATCACAGCAGCGTGGTAAGGCCAATGGACGAGGAAGGAAACGCATGGCGCATGAAATAGAAGAGCTCCCAAGCAGGCACGACATGGAGCGTTTTCAAACGACGTGGCCTTTCACCCATTTTCACCTCCTTGTTGTACTCGTGGTATTCGCTCCAAGCTTTGTGTTATCAATAGGAGTTTGGATGCAGTGTCCTTACAAAAAATGGAAAACTCAAATGACAGGCCTGCGCAATCCCTTGGAGTCCATTGAAACATGATTGTTCGACAGGCCGCCAACTGCACTTGAGCTTCTTTGTGAACAGATACCACCGTGTGTGGGCTCAGCTTTGAGTTTGAAGGGGCATCGCAGATGGAACACAAGACGGAAAGACTATGGAAAACCAGATGCAAATTCCTCACCGATTGCGGCTGTATGGATTTGGTGCGATTTTGTACTCAAGGCCTGAGCCAAAGCCAAGAAAACGGGGTGAGGACAAAGCACCACCTCAGATGGCCCGAGACGAGCAAAAAGATGCAACAAAAAATGTGAACCTTGGTTGATGAAAAGGATCGGTCCAATTGTGTAAGAGCGTATGCTTCAGCCTTGTATTTTGCCTACGGATCGAAAACCGTGCTCATAAAACACACATTTTTGCTAATGGGACGTGGGGGGTTATGTTGGGGTGGGGTGGGGGGGTGCGGTGGGGATGTTCACGTTCTGTCTAGTGCGTACAGTACATATTTCTACGCTCCCGAGATCTCTGGAATGCTTGCCACGTTACATGTTGCTACGCTGCCGAGATCTCTGGAATGCTTGCCACGTTACATGTTGCTACGCTGCCGAGATCTCTGGAATGCTTGCCATGTTACATGTTGCTACGCTGCCGAGATCTCTGGAATGCTTGCCACGTTGCATGTTATATACTACGCTGCCGAGATCTCTGGAATGCTTGCCACGTTACATGTTGCTACGCTGCCGAGATCTCTGGAATGCTTGCCACGTTACATGTTGCTACGCTGCCGAGATCTCTGGAATGATTGCCACGTTACATGTTGCTACGCTCCCGAGATCTCTGGAATGCTTGCCATGTTACATGTTGCTACGCTGCCGAGATCTCTGGAATGCATGCCACGTTACATGTTGCTACGCTGCCGAGATCTCTGGAATGCTTACCATGTTACATGTTGCTACGCTGCCGAGATCTCTGGAATGCTTGCCACGTTACATGTTGCTACGCTGCCGAGATCTCTGGAATGCTTGCCGCGTTGCATGTTATATACTACGCTGCCGAGATCTCTGGAATGCTTGCCACGTTGCATGTTACAGTGAAGGCACGTTTTCTTATACATAGTTATAACTAGGGTTAAGTTAGGTTATAAGTCAAGGTAACATAGGTTATAAGTTGACTTAAGTACACTAAGTTCCTTGAATAGGTTTAAGTTATAACTTACTTATAGAAGTTGTACAGTTTATAACTTAGTTATAACTTAGTTGTAGAAAAAATGTTTTTTAGTTAGTTTGAAGTTACGGAAGTTAGCATTTTGCTATGTTTTTTCTTGTTATTTTTTTGTTCCCTTGGAAGGAATGCTTGGATACGTGTTTTTTTTCAAACATCATTTTTTTGTTTATTCTTTGTTTTTTTCATGTTTTCGAGGATTTGGGCGTTTTTGTTGTTTGATTTTCTCTTTGATTTGCAGCTTCATTGAGTTTTGCTGTTTGAGCGGTTGTCTGCTCTGTCCTCTTACGCGCTTATGTGTGGCGCACTCGCTATGTTTTTCGTATCCGGTGGTCCGCGCGTATGTTCTGCGGTGGTCCGCTCAACGCTGCGCAGTAGTTCTGCGTTGGTTCTCTGAATGTTGCGGTGGTCCGCGCAATGTTTCATTCTCAGTGCCACACATCTGGTTGTCTTCAAGGGAACGTTCTTGACGAACACAGGTTGGGTCTTGACTCACCATGGCTGCCAAAATGTTACAACTAACCTTCAGTCGTGGTTTAGCCCTTTAAAGAAATAGTGTCAAGACACATGTGTTTTCAGACACATTGCAAGAAAAGCAACCAAAAAAACAGATGCGCACAGAGGTAAACAGATGCAAACAGATGTAAACAGATGCATACAGATGTACATACATCTGTTTACATCTGTTTACATCTGCCTATCGTTTGGTAGGGTTTTTGAACGCAGATTTAAAAAGATGCAAACAGATGTACATACGTCTGTTTACATCTGTTTACATTTGCCTATGGTTTGGTAGGGTTTTTGAGCGCAGATGTAAACAGATGTAAACAGATGTAAACCGATGTACATACATCTGTTTACATCTGTTTACATCTGCCTATGGTTTGGTAGGGTTTTTGAGCGCAGATGTAAACAGATATAAACAGATGTACATACATCTGTTTACATCTGTTTACATCTGCCTATGGTTTGGTAGGGTTTTTTGAGCGCAGATGTAAACAGATGCAAACAGATGTACCTACATCTGTTTACATCTGCTTACATCTGCTTGGACAGATGTACACAGATGTAAACAGATGTAAAAAGATGCAAAAAGATGTAAGCAGAGGTAAGCAAGATGTCAACCGGCAAAAGAACTCTTCGAGTAGACGATGTGATTTTTTGGAATCCTTCTTCAGCTGCGATGATTTTGTTTTTTGTTCAATACCAAAACACTTTCGTCATGGTGCTAAAAGATTTGCAAGAGCTTCCGCATGATATTCCACACGGAAAGAAATTCTTAATATTGGAGAGCACACAAGCACTTTGCTTGGATGATGCTGTCAATTTGACATGCCCAACTTGGTGGACCATCGAAGATGGCAATGTGATATGTCTCTTGTAACAAACGCACTCTGCAGCCAGGAAAAAGAAATTCTTCTGTTTGGCGGTGGTCCGCGCAATTTCCAAGTTTTGTTTGGCGGTGGTCCGCACATTTTTTGGTTAAACTACTTTTTTGTTAAAACTTAAGTGGTTTTCAGGCTTGTTTAGCTTCAGAAACGAGAGAATTTCAAAAACAAGAAAATCAGTGGATCACTGGTTATGGTAGCCAAAAAGAGCTCAAAAAATCATCAGTTTGAAGTTACGGAAGTTATAACTTAGTTGCAAATTAGTTATACCTTAGTTATCAATCATTAAGATAACTTCGGTGTAACTTAGTTATAACTTCTTTAAGTTCACTAGCTAAGTTATAACTTAGCGTCGCGTGCCCTCACTGTACTACGCTGCCGAGATCTCTGGAATGCTTGCCATTTTTGTTTGGGTGCCAGGCACAAAGATTTCATGTTATATACCAAAATGTGGCAACGGCGCTTCGTCAATGAGTACAAGAACCTGCTCCAGAAGACTGCAGACATGTTGCACAAGCTCGAGTGAAAAAAAGAATGCCTCATTTTGTCCGATCGAAATGAAGCAAAGATGTGTGTTTTACTGTTGTAAAAGCAACATTTCCCCAAAAAACACCCAAATTTGGACGTCCAAATTTGTCACTTTTTCAATGACACAAATCGTTACCTCGTTGTGGTAAAACACATTTTTTTGAAAAACTCTACTTTCGTGAGCACGGTTTTCGATCCGCCGGGTTGTTTTTGTATTGCCTTCGAATGGTGAGCATGTCACAAACACATGCCCACCGTAAACCTTTTGGTCAAAGGGACCCCTTTAGCCAGACTTCATACTATAGTGCTTGGAAAAGTTATAAGTGTCAGTTATAACATGTTATAACTAGGACTTATCCAAAAAGCTATAACTCTAACTTCAACATATTTTTTTATAACTTTTCAAACGGCATGAATCATGAACATTTATAGACGGAAACCATCAAAAGTCAGTACAGTTGATAGCGGTGTTTATAGACCGCTGGCGGCTTGTATTTTTAAAGGTGCATATGCAATTTTCGCTTGTTTTCGTTGTACCGAGTGTAGGTTTTAGCGGTATACACGCAAAAACCGCTTCCATACACTGTTCTTGGTTTAGCGGGGTTCCGTTTTATTCTACAAACATGTAAATGAAACCTGCGTGTAGCTTTCGGCTCACAGCTGAAGGGCGTTGGGCGGCTCCTGCCGCTCTCTTTGGGGCGCCCCAGCCAGGAATTGGCATGGGTCATGGGCAGTGACTTGGGGAGTCAAGCCCTTGAACTGGCCCAGGACGTGTTTGAACAGGAAAGAATCCTGGAGTATGAGTGCTATACGACAACCAAGGCCATGGACAAGGCCGCGGCATTGTGACTCTCAAAAGTTGGGAGGACATGGAGGCAGGCCTGTTCACAGGAAGCCATGGCCCGGCCTCTGATGGCTATTATGCCTGGTTTGTCGAGCACGACATGGGCGACAACCGTGAATTGTGAATTAATTCACGTGGACAAATGGTGCCTCCTTACCCCAGCGGCTATGGTTGGGACCGGGTACCTTCGCGTATGGGTTTCCAGTCTGGCCACAGCAGCAAGGGCAAAGAAAGCCCAGACGCCTCGGCTGGGAACTGGTCTTGACGCCTTAATGGCCGATCAGGAGGAGGAAGAGCCCAAGGGCAAAAAGGAGAAGCGCAAGGAGGAAGACAGGTCTTGGAGCCCCCGTAAGCGGGAGAGCATGAGCGAATACCTGAAGCGCCAGGTAAACCAACATGAGGAGGCCGCAGCATCAGGGAAGAAGAAAAAGGATGAGCGGAGGAGAAAGGCCGGAAAGCGAAAGCCAGCCGCCTCAGACATCCAAAGTGGTGAGGGGAGTGACTCTTCAAGTTTTCAGCTGACCCCAGCCCGGGGGGGGATCGAGCTTTGGAGAGTGGCCCAAAAGAAAACCGGGCAATTGACTCGTCTGGCCTTAGACGAAATGACCCGATACTTGGCACACAAGGCCGAGTCGGCCGAAGCCCAGAGCAAGTGGGCCGGTCAGCGGGTCGGAGCTTATCTCAACCAGATTATGCTCGTAGCTCACCCGAATGTGACTCTCCGGATGCAGAGGGAGCTACAGACCATATCGGTCACGTTGGACCATCTGCTAGCAGGCCGGCTAGCACAAGCGACAGATACGTTGACTCAACGTTTCAAAGCCTGCGAGACAGCTTTGTGGGAAAACAGTTGGCAGACTGCCCGCCACTTGGAACTGATCCCACCGGCAGCAGCATCCCTAGTAAGGGCCGAAGAAAGGGAGATGGCCATGAAGCAGGAGCCGGCAAAGCTCAAGGATTCGCTGCGAAAGGTGGGAAAAGAAAAGGAAAAATAGGGAAGTGGCAGCGGACCAGACCCGGCCCCGGGGAGGTCCGTGAGTCCCTTGAAAAATCAGGGGCCCCAGCTGCGAGTCAGCCCAGTGGCCGCACCGCGAGTGACCTTCAACGAGAAGGTGATCCAATCCCAAGCAGCAGGGGCAGCAGAGAGAAAGGCAGCCCTGAGGCAGAGAGGGAAACCCCCGCAGGAGGAGCCCGTCCAGAGGAAAAAAACACCAGAGGGTCAGGAGGGCCAGACTGCAAAAGGGGAAAAGTGGAAGCAGCAGGCTAAGCTGGAAGGGAAAGGAAAAGGAAAGCAGAGCGAGTCAGGCTCCGCAGCCGAAGCCCGCCGGGTG